TGTGAAGATCCAATGAATCATCTAGCACAATTTTTAAAAGTAGATTTTCCAAATTGAATCCATTTTGTGAATTTGAATATTGTTTCTAGGTCTTACATATATCTTTATATAATTATTCCATATTTTCTTAAACAAGTTTATGATGTAGTTGGTCCACAGCTCTTGTTTATGATAAATCGCTGTTTAGAAACCGGTATTGTACCTGACTTATTAAAACATGCAATAGTCCACCCCCTGCTTAAAAAGCAGAACTTAGACCCCACAGTGTTAGCCAACTTTAGACCTATCTCAAATTTGTCATTTATCGCTAAGATTTTAGAGAAAATTGTCCTACAGCAATTGCAGGGTTTTCTAGATGACAACATGATTTTTGAAATATTTCAATCCGGTTTTAAAAAACATCACTCTACTGAGAGTGCATTGTTGAAAGTTTTAAATTATATTTTAGTAACCTGCGATTCTGGCAACTATGCTGTGCTTGTGCTCCTAGATTTGACCGCTGCATTTGATACGGTCGATCACGAAGTTCTTATTGCTCGGTTGGAGCAATGCGCAGGCATTAAGGGTAGTGCCTTAAATTGGTTTAAATCTTATTTTTCTAATCAAAGTTTTTCAGTTAATGTTGGAGATCATTTTTCTAGTGCTGCTTCTTTATCATGTGGGGTTCCTCAGGGATCCATTTTGGCTCCCATTCTTTTTTCAATATACATGCTCCCACTTGGTTCTATCTTCAGGAAGTATGGGCTGTCATTCCATTGTTATGCTGATGACACCCAAGTTTATCTGCCCTTAAAACGTAATTCAGAAGGTTTGGACACTCTCATGGCTTGCTTGTCAGATGTAAAGTCCTGGTTGTCTCTAAACTTTCTGAATTTTAATGAGAGTAAAACAGACATTATAGTCTTTGGTCCTTCAGATTCATTTCATAATCCCAAAGCTAATCTTGGTGGGCTGTCTTCTTATGTGAAGACATCGGTGAAAAACCTGGGTGTTGTCTTTGATGACTCTCTGAAATTTGATAAGCAGATAAACTTGGTGGTGAAATCATGCTTTTTTCAGTTGCGAATGCTATCAAAAGTAAACTGAACGATGAGAAAGCGGTCAGAGCACAGCGACTTCTGCTCAGACTAATTCTTGTCCCCAGCCCCTGAAGAAGGCGGCATTGTCTCTAGCCTTTTTCATATTTCTGGACCACTAGGTGGCGCCGTGCCAAATCTGTCCAGGACTCCTCAGAGTGCGATGGTTCTGACAAGCTTTCTTTCAATTGGTCAAACAAATAAAGCCTCATGTCAACTTGTCTACTTTGGTGTGCTTGCCATCAGATAATCTGAAGCATTACATGGGAACGATTTGGTCTTTTAACAACTTTTGGCCAGCATGATCTAATGATAAGGTAGCTAAATTCTGTGAAGATCCAATGAATCATCTAGCACAATTTTTAAAAGTAGATTTTCCAAATTGAATCCATTTTGTGAATTTGAATATTGTTTCTAGGTCTTACATATATCTTTATATAATTATTCCATATTTTCTTAAACAAGTTTATGATGTAGTTGGTCCACAGCTCTTGTTTATGATAAATCGCTGTTTAGAAACCGGTATTGTACCTGACTTATTAAAACATGCAATAGTCCACCCCCTGCTTAAAAAACATAACTTAGACCCCACAGTGTTTAGACCTATCTCAAATTTGTAATTTATCGCTAAGATTTTGGAGAAAATTGTCCTACAGCAATTGCAGGGTTTTCTAGATGACAACATGATTTTTGAAATATTTCAATCCGGTTTTAAAAAACATCACTCTACTGAGAGTGCATTGTTGAAAGTTTTAAATTATATTTTAGTAACCTGCGATTCTGGCAACAATGCTGTGCTTGTGCTCCTAAATTTGACCGCTGCATTTGATACAGTCGATCACAAAGTTCTTATTGCTCGGTTGGAGCAATGCGCAGGCATTATGTGTAGTGCCTTAAATTGGTTTAAATCTTATTTTTCTAATCGAAGTTTTCAGTTAATATTGGAGATCATTTTTCTAGTGCTGCTTCTTTATCATGTGGGGTTCCTCAGGGATCCATTTTGGCTCCCATTCTTTTTTCAATATACATGCTCCCACTTGGTTCTATCTTCAGGAAGTATGGGCTGTCATTCCATTGTTATGCTGATGACACCCAAGTTTATCTGCCCTTAAAACGTAATTCAGAAGGTTTGGACACTCTCATGGCTTGCTTGTCAGATGTAAAGTCCTGGTTGTCTCTAAACTTTCTGAATTTTAATGAGAGTAAAACAGACATTATAGTCTTTGGTCCTTCAGATTCATTTCATAATCCCAAAGCTAATCTTGGTGGGCTGTCTTCTTATGTGAAGACATCGGTGAAAAACCTGGGTGTTGTCTTTGATGAGTCTCTGAAATTTGATAAGCAGATAAACTTGGTGGTGAAATCATGCTTTTTTCAGTTGCGAATGCTATCAAAAGTAAAGTCTTTTCTCTCCTTCAAAAATTTTGAAAAAGTAATCCATGCCTTTATATCCTCCAGGCTGGATTACTGTAATTCTCTATATGTTGGGATTAGCCAATCAGCTCTGTCCCGATTACAGTTAGTTCAAAATGCAGCAGCCAGACTGCTTACGGGTACTCGAAAACGGGACCACATCACTCCAATTTTACGCTCTCTGCACTGGTTACCAGTGCGCCACAGAATTGATTTTAAAATTTTACTCATAGTGTACAAATCTCTGAATGGTATGGCCCCATCTTACCTTTCTGACCTGTTGATTGAACATTTTCCTACCAGATCACTTCGGTCTTCCAAACAGAGATTGTTGGTTATCCCTAGGTCGAAGTATAAGTGTAGAGGTGACCGTGCATTCTCTGTAGTTGCCCCCAGACTCTGGAATGAATTGCCTTATTATACTTTGTGTATTTTTAAGTAAATGTGTTTTTGTGTTTTCATTTTTTATTTTGTTGTAAAGCACATTGGACAATATTATACTTTGTGTATTTTTAAGTAAATGTTTTTGTGTTTTCATTTTTTATTTTGTTGTAAAGCACATTGGACAACCATGGGTTGTAATTAATGGTGCTATATAAATAAATTTGCCATTGCCATTGCCATTACAGTACAATAGTTATTAGCATAAACATAAGTGAAAGTTTGAGCTATTGCTGGTGCTAGAAGGTTTGAGAGACAGACTTCGAATTTGTAATGGTAAATGTTCAGACTGTCTTCTGTGTGCCAAATTTCATAACTATTCTGTGTACAGTTCTATGCCATAAATGTAACAAAATGTTAATTTGCATAAATAAATAAAAAAAGTAAAAGATTTTAATCCATTTTATGGTTATTGGATTACAAATAAAGGCACCTATAAATGGGACTAGATTTTCAAGCTGCTGCATGTTCAACAAATGCAGCTTATTTTTAAACAGAATCAAGGCAGCCAATAGTGCATTACAATAATTACGTTTTAGTGAAAGTTAGGTTTCCCCCCAGATTTTACTGAAACAAATTTAGAAATGAAAGCACAATCTAGCACATCACCAGAATTACTAAGAAATTAGTAATATTTCTCTTTTATTGTTCATGGTTTTTGATTATGAACATTTCTTGCCATGGGATCCGACTAGCTTCTAGAGAATTCACACCACAATATAGTCTGAGTGTGCCCAACCTTTTGAAGCCAACAAAAATACAGAGGAATTGTTTTCTCCTCTTAATTAATAGATGATAAACTTATGTAATTTGTTATTCTATGTCCAATTAAATGTTCAGCTGCTTTTAATTTGCACTGAACAACTTTTTTCTGACTCTATCAGAACAAACCTGTCCCCCATTTTTGCAATGTGAACAGGTGAGAACCGCCAAAAAGAAGCATGTACAAGATGAATAAAGGGCAGGCTTTGTGGCACTCTTCCATTTCATCTGTGTTTGAACAGACTGCTCTTCATAGTGGTAGCGATCTGACAGATTCTGTTAAAGGTATACTGAGAAGTGAAAACAAACCTAGGAGATTGACAGAGAAGCAATTTAGTTGCTTCTCTATAGTTCAGACTGTGAGATTGTGTGAAAGAAGAGACCAGTGAATGAACAGATCATTGCTTAGCAGTGAGTTTATTTGTCAAAAGCCACGTTTGTGCGTGCAGGTAACACACAAACATGCACAGAGAACTGGCATTGAAAACCGCTTACAATCAAAATGACCACTGAAGGTTTAGCTCAATGCTGTGTATACAAGTGTGGATCCGAGTGGAACTTTACTTGCTGCACATTAGATAATATAGACACGCTTATTTTGAGCAGTGCAGTGATGTGAAACACATTTCAAAGCGAGCAGTAATATTGCTACACTTGTGTTCTAAACTTGTGACTCAACTCTGCTCATATCATTCCAAACCTGTATAATTTTCTTTTTTCTGTGAAATACACGAAATGTTTCAAGATTCTGTTTTCCAAATAAAGAAAGTGGATGATGATTTTTGCTGTCAAGCTCCAAGGACACCATAAAAGTAGTCCATCCATACAACTCGTGCATTCTGTCTAATCCAAGGCTTTAGATTTAATCTTCCCTTCCGCCATACAGTAGCTCTCAAATCTCACGTTTATCATACTTGCCGAGAACACGAGAACCAGTATTGTTTGGGTTCCACAACATCAAATCTAAAGGCGACGATTATGAATGTAACACAAACTTTTTAAAAGTTGATGATATAAAGCTTTAAATTTCATCATGCGGAAAAGCATCTGTCATGTTTCACAAAACAAAGAAAATAATATGAGGTTGGAGCAACATAGTGACAAAATTATTTTAGTATTCTTGAGTTGATTTCTAAAATTTCGATTTATACGCCATACACTATATTGCCAAAAGTATTGGGACACCCCCTTCTAATGAACAGGTTTGACTACTTTAGTAATTTCCACGAGTACAGATCTTAATGTTTAAGCATATAATGGGAATTGTGTGCTTCTAATTTTATAGCAACAGTTTGGACAGGACCCTTTTCTATTCTAACATGACAATGCCTCTGTGTATAAAACAAGATTGTGATTGTGGATTGTGATTGGTTAATGGCAGCATTCTGTGGTTTGTACATATTTTTCTAATTATGCTAAAGAGAATAATTGACCATTGTCCCAGATAAACAATTTTGCACTCTTCTCACATATTAAAATGTTTTCAACTTTTCAATAATTCATGTTATTTACATGTTATTTATTTGGTTGGTAAGCATCCAGGAATAACAGTTCTGCTTAGTGTTAGGGGTTCAGTTTGCTATAATGACCAGCTGGCTGTACATTATCCCATACTGAGCCATTGAAACTGTGCTATACTGATTTTAAAGAGGATTGCTTTGCGTCAAACCGAAGAGCATCCCATAACCATGGTAAAATCATTGTAACACATGGCCTCTTGTGGCTTACTCTAGAATCCTCTGATAAAATTATCGAATGATAAGTGGTTTATTTTGCCTGGGCATCACATGCTTCAGCTGAAAACACAAGCCATTACTATTAACACGGATTTGTAGAGCCAAGACATCCCTACACATAATGTAGCAGTGAATTCTGTTTTAATCACAGGCTGGATTCAGCACAAAGGCCGGCCCCCGTGTTCTGTTTACATTACGCTGAGATGCATGAACAATCCAATTGACTGTAATACTGAAGTCATCACAAGAAATATGCACCTGCGTCAAATAACCCCCCCCTCCAAAAAAAAAAACTGCATTCACAATTCTCAAACTGCAGGCATGAAAATCTCAGCACAAAGCCCTGTTCCACTTTTTTCCTTTTTAAATAAAAGAATCTGATCAATACATCCATCTTTCACGACCGTCAGACTGTCACAGGTATGGAAATAGAGCATTTATACAAGCTCTCCTCAGTGAAGTCCATTTGGATGTGTATGTGTGTGTGTGTGTGTGTGTTCGTGTGTGTGTGCGCGTGTGGTGCGATGAGTATTGCCAGATCATCCTTTCAAAGTTCATCCCTAAAAAAAAAAACAGAAAAAAAAAGTTACTGTGAACATCAAAGATGCACAACAACAAGATGTTATCATACAAGACATCACGACTGACGTGCATACAGTTTAAACAAAACACATGCAACAATTAGTTTCAGCAATCTTAAAGGTATTAAAGGGTTAGTTCACCCAAAAATGAAAATTAGCCCGTGTTTTACTTGCCCTCAAGGCATTCTCAGTGTATATGACTTTCTTCTTTCAGACGAATCCAATCGGATTTATATAAAAAAAATTGTCCTTGCTCTCCCAAGCTTTATAATGGCAGTGGGTGGGTGTTTTTTTCAACAGTCCAAAAGACGTCAAATAAAGCGCATTCATCCATGCCCCACACAGCTCCGGGGGTGAATAAAGGCCTCCTGTAGCAAATCGATACGTTTTTGTAAGAAAAATATCCATAATTAAAACATTATAAACACTTTTCTCTCACTTCCACTAACTGTAGGTGGAAGCCGTTCCGGGCGGATGACGTAGGCGTAGCGCACGCGCTGGTGATTAGTGATGAACGCGTAACGTGATTAGTGTTTATAACATTTTAAATATTTATATTTTTTTTACAAAAACACATGGATTCGCTACAGGAGGCCTTTATTCACCCCCTGGAGCCGTGTGAGGCATGTTTTATTATGGATGGATGCACTTTATTTGACT